AAATTTGGGGGTCCCGAGTGGAAATTTGGGGTTTCGGAGCCAAAATTTGGGGATTTCAACCCAAAATTTGGGGGTTTTGAGTCGAAATTTGGGGGTTTCGAGCCAAAATTTGGGGATTTCAGCCCAAAATTTGGGGGTTTTGAGTCGAAATTTGGGGATTTCAGCCCAAAATTTGGGGATTTTGAGTCGAAATTTGGGGATTTCAGCCCAAAATTTGGGGATTTTGGGGGGTCCCGAGTCAAAATTTGGGGGTTTGGAGCCAAAATTTGGGGATTTCAGCCCAAAATTTGGGGATTTTGGGGGGTCCCGAGTCAGAATTTGAGGATTTTGAGTCAAAATTTGGGAATTTCAGCCCAAAATTTGGGGGTTTGGAGCCAAAATTTGAAGATTTCAGCCCAAATTTGGGGGTCCCGAGGGAGAATTTGGGGATTTTGAGCCGAAATTTGGGGATTTCAGCCCAAAATTTGGAGTTTTCTGCGCCAAACCTGGGATAAAACCGCCGGAATTTGGGGGTTTTTGGGTTAAAAAACAGAAATTTGGGGATTTTGGGGTTAAAAACCCGAAATTTGGGGATTTTGGGGTTAACTTTTTTAGGGTTAAAACACCTAAAATTCCACTGTTTTAAAGTTAAAACCCCCGAAATTTGGGGATTTTTGGGTTAAAACCTCCGAAATTCCACTTTTTTTTTGGGATAAACCGCTGGAATCCCGGGATTTTTTGGGTTAAACCCCCCGAAATTTGGGTTTTTTTGGCTTTAAAACCCCCGAATTTCCTCTTTTTTTGGAATAAAACCCCGAATTTTGGGGTTTTTTGGCTTTAAAACCCCCAAATTTTCACTTTTTTTGGGTTAAACCCCCCCGAATTTTCCCTCTTTTTGGAACAAAACCCCCGAATTTTCGCTTTTTTTGGGTCAAAACCCCCGAATTTTGGGGTTTTCTTAGCGTTAAACCCCCCGAAAATTCGCCGTTTCTGGGGTTAAACCCCCCCGAAATCCCGCATTTTTGGGGTTAAAAACCCCGAATTTTCGCTTTTTCGGGGGTTTTCGACCACGCCGAATTTTTTGGGAGGGGTCCCCAAAGCGGGGGGGTCTCACCTCGGGCGAGAATCGAGGCTGGGGGGCGCAGGGTGGGGTCAGGACCCCCCAAAAAATCAACAGCGCCGGGAGCATCTCCGGGATCCTTCGGGCTTGGAAACAAAAAAAATAACAATTCCCAAAAAAAACCAAAAAAACACCCAAAAAACCTCGGGAAGAGGCGGGGGAAGGGGTGGGGCTAGAGGGGGAGTGGAAAACATTAACAAAAAACGGGAATTTTGGGGTTTTTTTGGGGTTTTTTGGGGGTTTTTCCCTGAGGCGGATCGGCTGAGGGGAGGCCGCGGGTGTTGGCGCCCCCTGGCGGGCGGGAGGACCCCGGAAAAAAGGCGGGAACCCCCCTTTTTTAATGATTTTAATTCATTCCTTATAATTTTTTTTTTTTTTTTTTTTTTTAAATTATTTTCTGGAGGTTTTTTTGGGGATTTTTTGGGATGGTTCGGGGAGGGTGGGGGGAGGGGCAGGATGTGGTCAGCCCCTCCCCCACCCCCGTTTTCCTTGGATCAGCTGACTCAGCGCCGGTGACGTCATCCCCCCCCCCACACACAAAAAAAGCGGGAAAAAAGCCAAAATTTCGGGAACTTTTAGGGGGTTGTCCCGCCGAAATTTCGGGAATTATTATTTCCCGCTGTTTTGAGGAGCGGGGGAGGGGAGATTTATCCGTTTTTTGGGGGGAAATTCGGGAAAAAAAAAAAAAAAAAAAAAGCTTTTGGGATTCCCCGGGAAGGAAATGGTTGGGGGAGGGGGGAGGGGCCCTCCCGGGGTATTTTTGGGAATTCGTTTGTGGCTCTAATTAAAGACCGGGAGGGGGCGTGGCCACGCTAATTAAACCCAGAAATTGGGCGGGGCTTAAAGGGGCGGAAACTCCTTGCCCTTTTAAGGCGCCGTTGCCCCTTTAAGAGGCCGTTGCCCTTTTAAGAGGACGTTGCCCCTTTAAGAAGCGCCGTTGCCGCTTTAAGGCCGCTCCCGATGTTCCCCACCCGCGGCTCGAAGGCTCCGCCCCTTCCCAGTTCATCCCAGTTCATCCCAGTTCATCCCAGTTCACCCCAGTGAGGCCCAAACGCCCTCCCAGTACATCCCAGTTCCCGCTTCTCCGAACTGGTTTGTACTGGGAGCCTCTGGGGGTTCGGGACGCGGTGCTGGGAGGGGACTGGGAGGAACTGGGCCGACTTTGTCCCGCCCACTCGCTTCCCATTGGTCGTCTTCTCTCTTTCCCGCCCTTCCATTTGGTTACTTGCGCTGTCACTCACCGCGTTATCCCCGCCTATTCGCGCTATGATTGGCAGCCGCGTTTTCCCGCCCCGCGCTCCCATTGGTCCGTGCTTTTCCCGCCCCGTGCTGCCATTGGCTGGCGAGGCAGGGAGGGCGTGGCCGGGCGCGGCGCGGCGGGAAAGCCGTGAGGGGGAAAGCGGCTCCCGGGGACGGAGGGGGTGAATTTTGGGGGAAAAAAAATGGGAAAAACGGGGCCGGAAATGCTGGAAAAGAGACGGGAAAGGCTCCCGAGGGCTCCTGGCGGATTTTTGGGCGCTTTCCGCCGGGTTTTTTGGGGGGAAATCCACGGGTTTAGGGGGGCTCGGGGGGGCGGTTCTGAGGGAGGGCCGGGAGGTGGGGGGGGGGGGGGGGGTCCGGGCGTGGGCCGGGGGGGGGGGTTCGGGGGAGGGGCCGGGAGGTGGGGGGGGTGCTCCGCGGTCCCTGAGGGGTTTTAGGGGTTCTGAGGGGTTTTAGGGGGGTCCTTGAGGGGGATTTGGGGAAACCTGAGGGGGATTTGGGGGGTCCTGGTGGGGGATTTGGGGGTTCTGGGGTATTTTGGGGGGGGGGTCCTTGAGGGGGATTTGGGGTCCCTGAGTGGAATTTGGGGGTTCCTGGTGGGGATCTGGGGCATCCCTGGGAGGATTTGGGGGATCCTGAGGGGGTTTTGGGGATCCTGAGGGGAATTTGGGGTCCTGGTGGGGAAACTTGGGAGGTCCTGAGGGACTTAAGGGGTCCTGAGGGGGTTTTGGGGTTCCTGAGGGATTTTTGGGGTCCCTGAGGGAAATTTGGGGGATCCCTGGGAGGATTTGGGGGAATCCTGAGGGATTTTTGGGGGGGTCCTGAGGGAGTTTTGGGATTCCCTGCTTTAATTTTGTCCTTCCTTGATTTAATTTTGGGGTTCCCCGATTTAATTTCGTCGTCCCCCGGCCCCAGGTGCCCTTTTTATTCTTTGGGGTGTCCCCAAAAATCCCCCGATGGCTCTGGGGCTGCCCCCGAACCTCCCGCTGCCTCCAGGTGAGGGGAAAAAAAACAAAAAAAAAACACCAAAAAATTAAAAAAAAAATCTTTAAAACCCCCAAATCTTAATTAACCGATTTTTCCTTGTTAATTAAAGCAGACGAAGAAGCCCCGGCACCCCCAAATTCCGCCACCCCCCAGGAGCTGGGAGCCAACCCGGGGCTGGCCCGGCTGCTCCGGAATCTGGGGGGGCTGCTGGGGGGGGATGGGCTGAGCCCCCCGCTGCAGAAGGAGCTGCGCCAGGTGAGGGAGGAAAATTCCCAAAAATCCTGGGAATTTTGGGGAATTCTGGGACGAGCCCGAGGCCAGGGATTCTGCCAAAAAAAAATTCACTTTTTTTTTTTTTTTTAAAAAAAAAATAATTTTAATTTTTTTTTTTTTTCCCCCCCCCCCCTAAAAAATGAGTAAAGAGTTGGCGGGAATTTCACTTTTTTCGGGAGTTTTGGCCCCAAATTCTTCCAAAAATTCCGTTTAATGTTCCGAATTTCCTGGATTTTACCCCCGAAATTCCCGATTTTCCTGGATGTTACCCCAAAATTCCCAAATTTCCTGGATTTCACCCCCAAAATTCCCGATTTTCCTGGATGTTACCCCCAAAATTCCCAAATTTCCTGGATTTTACCCCCGAAATTCCCGATTTTTCTGGATTTTACCCCCGAAATTCCCGATTTTCCTGGATTTTACCCCCAAAATTCCCAAATTTCCTGGATTTTACCCCCAAAATTCCCAAATTTCCTGGATTTTACCCCCAAAATTCCCGACTTTCCTGGGTTTTACCCCCAAAATTCCCGATTTTCCTGGATTTTACCCCCGAAATTCCCAATTTTCCTGGGTTTTATCCCCAAAATTCCCGATTTTCCTGGATTTTACCCCGAAATTCCCAATTTTCCTGGATTTTACCCCCAAAATTCCCTGGTTTTTTTCCCCAAAATTCTTCCAAAATTCCCCTCAAATTTTCCTTTTTTTCCCAAATTTCAGCCCAAAATTCCTTTAAATTTCCAAGATTTTGGGGGTTTTTGGGGTGGTTTTGGGGGTTTTTGGGGTTCCTGGTTTGGATTTTGGGGGTTTTTGGGGTTTCTGGGTGGGATTTTGGGGTGATTTTGGGGGTTTTTGGGTCCCTGAGGTGATTTTTGGGGACTTTTGGGTTCCCTGGGTTGGATTTTGGGATTTTTTGGGGGGTTTTTGGGGTTGCTGGGTGGGATTTTGGGGTGATTTTGGGGGTTTTTGGGGTGGTTTTGGGGGGTTTTGGGGTTCCTGGTTTGGATTTTGGGGGTTTTTGGGTCCCTGAGGTGATTTTTGGGGACTTTTGGGTTCCCTGGGTTGGGTTTTTTGGGTGATTTTGGGTTTTTTTGGGGTCCCTGGGGACATTTTTGAGGTTTTTGGGTTCCCTGGGTTGGGTTTTTTGGGTGATTTTGGGTTTTTTTGGGTTCCCTGGGGTCATTTTTGGGCTTTTTGGGTTCCCTGGGTTGGATTTTGGGGTTTTTTGGGGGGTTTTTGGGGTCCCTGGTTTGGATTTTGGTGTTTTTTGGGGTGAATTTTGGGTTTTTTGGGTCCCCCCAGGCCGAGGTGTCCCTGTGCCGGGCCCGGACGCTTTGGCTGCACCTGGAGCTGCTCTGGAGGATTTTGGGGGAGCTGATCCGGGACCCCCGAAATTTGGAGCCTTCTGTGAGTCCCAAAATCCCCCCAAAACTCCCCAAAAATTCCCTCAAAAATTCCCAAAAAATCCCTCAAAATTCCCCCAAAATTCCCTAAAAATTCCCCCAAAATTCCCTCAAAAATTCCCTCAAAAATTCCCAAAAATTCTCTCAAAATTCCTAAAAATTCCCCCAAAACTTCCTAGAACTTCCCTTAAAATTCCCCCTAAAATCCTCAAAAATTCCCCAAAAATCCCCTCAAAAATTCCCAAAAATTCTCCCAAATTTCCCTCAAAATTACCCCAAAATTCCCTCAAAAATTCCCAAAAATTCCCCCTAAAATCCTCAAAAATTCCCCAAAAATTCCCTCAAAAATTCCCCAAATCCTCTAAAAATCCCCTCAAAAATTCCCAAAAATTCTCCCAAATTTCCCGCAAAATTACCCCAAAATTCCCTCAAAAATTCCCAAAAAATTCCCAAAAATTCCCAAAAAATTCCCCCCAAATCCCTCAAATTTCCCCCCAAAACTTCCTAAAAATTCCCTTAAAATTCCCCCTAAAATCCTCCGAAATTCCCCCAAATTTCCCCCAAAAATTCCCCCCAAAATCCACCCCAAAATACCCCGAATTCACCCCAAAATCCACCCCAAAATACCCCGAATTCACCCCAAAATCCACCCCAAAATACCCCGAATTCACCCCAAAATCCACCCCAAAATACCCCGAATTCACCCCAAAATCCACCCCAAAATACCCCGAATTCACCCCAAAATCCACCCCAAAATACCCCGAATTCACCCCAAAATCCACCCCAAAATACCCCGAATTCACCCCAAAATCCACCCCAAAATACCCCGAATTCACCCCAAAATCCACCCCAAAATACCCCGAATTCACCCCAAAATCCACCCCAAAATACCCCGAATTCACCCCAAAATCCACCCCAAAATACCCCGAATTCACCCCAAAATCCACCCCAAAATACCCCGAATTCACCCCAAAATCCACCCCAAAATACCCCGAATTCACCCCAAAATCCACCCCAAAATACCCCGAATTCACCCCAAAATCCACCCCAAAATACCCCGAATTCACCCCAAAATCCACCCCAAAATACCCCGAATTCACCCCAAAATCCACCCCAAAATACCCCGAATTCACCCCAAAATCCACCCCA